AGAGATGCTTGAGATGCGTTTGATGATGTAATCGCAAGTCAGGGAGCGATGAAATTTAACACCGAGCCGAGCCGCGGTGGGGAGGTCTCGCCCCCTTCTTTGCTTCGGGTTGGCTGCTTCCTCTGCTCCAAAGCCAGAGGCAGTCGCCTTTCCGCGCTGAATGCTGGAGCGATTGCCCCCCCAGACGCTGCAAAGAGCAATAATAATACAGTACTAATAGCAAAAGGAATTCCTGTTGCTCTTCTTTTGAGACCTTCGCTCCGGCTCCGGTGTCCTGGGCAGCGCTGCTGTTGCTTCCCAGGGAGTCCTCCTTGCTAAGAACTCTTCACACACACACACACAACTAGTTTCAATTGCACGCAACTTTGGCGCCACGCTTTGCGCACGAGAGCATCCACGGAGCGGCCTCGACACTCGCAAGGCGGGCTGCCTGCCGGTGTGAGCAACCACCCCGGTTGGTTTGGGGAGGGGCGGGGGGTCAGAACCGGCTCTCCCTCGCCATGTGGAAGACCCGCTAGGGGAGGAAGGTGCCCAAGGCAGCGCTCCGGTCCGGAGACATCCGAGGCGAAGCGCAAGGAAGCCCGCCAGCCGCCGCCCCTGCTCCGGAGCTCGGGTTACATGGACAGTACCTGAACCCGGAGCGGTCGGGGGAGTCGGCTTCGGTTTTCGGTTAGAACTTCGCTGCTGGGACAAATGCATACAAATGCATTTAGGAGCTCAGAGGACAAGGAGTGGAAGCATCTCTCCCACTGCAAAAACGTGAGTACGAAATAAGGGCTCCGGAGCAGGGCGAAGCGGGAAAGTGTGTGTGTTTGTGTGTGTGTTTGTGTGTGTATGAGAGAGCGAGAGAGAGCGAGAGAGCGCTGCGGATAGAGGCGGGGGCGGGGCGGGGTGCCGCCGGAGCCACACACACACACACACACACACACAGACACAGAAAGCAGATCATCTTGTCACACATGTGAGCGCTGTTTGGGGTCGGATCCTCGCCTTGTCTGGAAGGGACTCTCTCTGAGAGGAAACCGATAAGAGTCAAACACGGCTGGAGCCCAGGCGCCGCTTTACGTGGGAGTCCGTCCCACCGAAAGCGGAGCAGGTCTTGTTTCGGAGCGTGTGGGATTACGCCCCGAATCAGGCACCTTAAACACAGGGGCGTCGATCCCAGCCTGCCAGACGGTCCTGCGGTCGATATGAAAGCGCTCGTGTGGCGGGGGTGGGAGGAAAGGAGCAGTGGATACCTTGCTGGCATGTGTCCCATTTCGGGACAAAACCCAGTCTGTGCGGGAGGCCGGGACTCCCCGCTCTCCTCAGCTGTTTCCTGGGGGTGAGGTGTGAGGGGGAGAGTCGCAAGCCACCACCACCCCCGACCGGCTCTCCCTCATAAAAAAGGGAGAAGGAAAAAAATGTTTTTGCTGCTGTTCCTTTCGCGCGTTCCGACAACTTTCTGATGATTTTGTCAGTCATAACTAGCCATTTTGGTGCACATGCACAGGAAGAGGCGCTCTCTCCCACCTCCTCTGCAGTGAGGCATGGATGCAACGTCTCCTCCTCCCCCAATGAAAAAAAGGGGAAGCAAATGTGGTGTCCTTCCAGGAGAAAGAGGCCGTTTATGTTTTTGAAAAGAAAGGAAGGTCAAATGGGTGAGAGATGTCACTGTATATGTCCCCCAAACTCACCAGGATATTCCCCTTTAGATCTTGGTGGAACATTCTAGATTTTGGTGCCCTGGGGCAAAGCCCCAATTACTCTACCCTTCTTACAACCTTACCTTTTCTTGGCTTGGTAATGGATTAGGAAGCAGATTGACAGTGGGGTAACCAGTGTGTTTGTGTTGCTGAACCCAGAGAAAGCTCTGTTGTCGTCACCAGGTACTCTCCTACAGTTAACCAGCTTTCTTCTGTTGTCTGCAAGAACATGACAACTTGGCGGAACAGTGGTTCCCAAACTTCATTCTTATGGGGACTAGGTGTGGAACTTGAGTTCTTTGGTCCTTTGCTGAGGAGGGATTCGACATCGCCCCAGAGAATTTAGAAAGCCTTTCCAACCTTTCCATTAGCGTTGGCAACCTACCAGAGTCCTGTGTACCTACTCCAGTGGGCTGGTGGATGCATCTTGTGACCAGCATTGAACATGGTGTGGGACCCTCGATTTGCAAGGTCTGTTCACCCAAGATTTCTGTTTGATATAATTTCTTGGTTTTGGAAGCTGTTTTGATTTGTTGTTTTAGGCATGCTAGTATGGCAGTAACCCACCAGAAGACAACTGGAACTGGAACAGCTAGGAATTCTATGGCAACCTCAGTATATAACCAGTTTATCATAGCAGGAGCCCGTTCTTGGTCATTCAGGTGCCAGAGATTGTTTTATTGGTGTGTGTTTTTTTGCTGCATCACAATAGCAGGAGGAACTACCTCTTTTGAATTTCTTTAACTTGCGGCAGAGTTGTCCATTTCAATCAACTGAAGAACACCTGACTGATGAAGACAGGTATTTGAGGGCATATGGACCTGGGGGTGACTGCGCATCTTTATGACCTCACTAAGTGTGCAACAGCAATGGGGGGAGGTGTTCTCTTTTTTCTTTTTTTTCTCCCTGCAATGACATTTGTGTGTTACTTCTAGGGCAAATCATTAGGTTTTCAAGTGGATTTGGCTATTAAATCCTCTTAGGTGCCTGCAGGCATCTTCCTCCTCTCCCTCATCCTTTCTTAAATCCTGGTTTAAAAATAAAACTTTTTAGTCATGAGCTGTGACTATTTAAAGTGCCTGCAGTCATGAAGCATGGCATTTGATTTCCCATCTCTACTGTTTTTGGTCCTGTTTTTGGAAAGAAGGAAAAGGCATTGCAATGACTAGTCCATGGAGAGAAAACAGTTTTGAAGATGGCTTGCAAATTTTTATGTATGTGTGTGGTTTTTTATATGTAAGGCAGAGGGAGGCATAAGACTTGAAGACTTTCCGTACCCACCCTGTTTCCCTCATTTTACAGGCAAATTTTTCTCTGAGAGGTTGGTTTGCCAAAACGTAACTTCAATCTGCTTCCCCCTGTTTTGTCTTCAGTAATCATCTTTCTTTTCCCCTGAAGGCAACAGAAGCAAAGAGGCATTTGTTATTACTTGTGGTTGGTAGACTACTTAGATAAGTTTAGCTTTCAAGCATGAAAAATCAAGGTGATCTTTCTGGATGCAGTTTGATTTTCCCCTGGGCTTTTCTGCTTAGAAAATGAACAGGATGCACCAAGCAGCCAATTTTAAAAGATGTGATAAAGCAAAGTCTCTTGGGATAGTTTTCTATAAACAAATCCCTTGCCGTGTGAGGTAGTCTTTCTACAAAAGAGCTGGAGAGCAGTGTTACTGCTTTGTTTGGATTTGCAAGGCTGACTCCTTTGTTTCATGCCTTGCTGGTTTGAATTTATCTGTGCATGTCAGATGTATCTGGTCTTTAAAGCCTGCTTCTACTGAGGTAATAAACGTTTGTTTGGATTGTACTACTTCAGGGTCACAGATGAGGGCTCATTTGATAGACCCCACATGTTTAAAAAACCCATGCACGTATCAGCAAGGAGGTAGAAGCTTTTTCCTGACAACTCATTTTCTGTGATTAGTCAGTCTGTCCCCGTTCCCCGTCACCCATGATTTTGGATTGATTACGTTGGAAGAAGGGAGATCTAAAGTAAAATGCTTTGGAAACTTTCATCTCTGCCAGGAATAGTAAAGACTGACATTGCCCGAGCAGTTCCAAGCACTCATGATTATTGTTGTGGAATCTTCTGCCAGTGCACCATTGCCGTTGTTCATGAGTTACACATCTGGGTCAGTGCCCTCACTTTTACCTCAGCCACTGCAGATGAAGACGTTTCTCCATTTGTCTGGGCTGATGGCAAGTATGTGACTGTCTTTGGCCGCTAATCTCTCTCTCTCTTACATCCTCACCAAATAAATGTGCCTCAGAACGTGGTGGTACCAAGGCCAGAAACAAATGTTAGAGGTAGGCCATAATCAGAAGAGAGAAATCCTAAAGTAACACAAGTGTCTGAGTGTCCCAGCAGAAGTTCCTCTCCCTGGGCATATGTGGAATAGCTTGCTTTGTTTGGTGACTGGTTGTCAGTACTTAAATCACTGGATTTGTTTGAAGTTCGTTTGCACAAACCCAAACAACTGCCTCAGGCACTTGTCTGCAACATCAGTGTGCTTCTAATTGTGAATTATCTTTAAGGTCTGTTTCTGGCTTGGGGTGGATTTCTCCTAAATATCTCAGAACGTGGGCAGAGCCTTCAGATAGGCTGGCCCTATTAATCTGGAACTTTCAACTACTGTATATCCCAAAAAAAAAGTTGGTAGCCAGTGAAGCTGTTACAGTGAAGGAGTTGTGTGCTCTTTGTAAACAGTCTAGTTTTAACGGTCTGGGAGCAGCATTTTGGATCAGCTGATATTTCTGTATATAAACCTTATATTCCCATGAATGTTTGAGAGGATGCTTTCTTAAATCTCCTAGCTCCAGATAGTATGTAGGCCTCTACGTCCTGCATCACTTGCCTGCTTTGCCACCATGTCTTCTCTCTGGCCTTGGTTCAGACTATCTTGGTTGAAACCTCTTTTCCTATGACATGAAGGGGGTTTCATTTGGTATGTAAAGCTTAAGACCTCAGGTGTCGTACATGCTCTATAATAGGATTGATAAAGTGGAGGGAACCTACGCTGATACTTTTCTAGATAGAATGTGATTTTCCAAGTTTATGAGTTTCTGTTTTCTTGGGTTGTAGTTCCTCCATACCAGCATTATTTCTAATAAATACAACATCTGTTTGGACAAAGATAATCTTAATTACACTAATTTGAATGAAATAACATCATTTTAAAGGTGCTTCATCTTTATGTTATGAACTAGCAGAGAGAAATACTTTCTGGCACTACTTTTACCAACTTTAGTTCCTGGCACTGTAGGTGGAAACCTTCCTATTATGTTTTTGTCAAAGCAGTGTTGGATCTACTGGGTTTGAAGAAGTTGACCAGATGTGAAAGCCTGTGAAACAGGCATTGCTGTAAAGTTTGCTGTTTGCAAATTAAAAACAACAACAACAAAAACAACAACAAAAACAACCCAGAAGTGTTTCCCACACTTTCTGCAGAATATATGGCCATATATAATACAGTGGTGCCTCGCATAACGATGTTAATTGGTTCCGAAAAAAAACGTTATGTGAAAACATCGTTATGTGAAGCACCATTTCCCATAGGAATGCATTGAAAACCGGTTAATCCGTTCCAATTGGAACGGATTATCCGGTTTTCTCCCTCCCCCCGCGGCTTGGATCTGACCCATGGCGGCTAACTCAGCCATGGCTGGGGTAGCCGCCGCGGCTCGGATCCAAGCCATGGGGGGAGGGTGGTGGGATTGGGATGCCTTTCAGGCAACCCGGGCTTGGATCCCACCAACCGCCGGTTACCCTTTAAGCGGCGG